CTGCTGGGGCCAGGCGGGCCGGAGGCCCGGGCGCCAGCGGCCCCAGCCCGGATGCGAACGCGCGCTCTTTCTCCGGAGGCGAGGCTCAGAGGTACAGGAAGGGGTCTCCGGGAATCTGTGCCCCCCTCTGTTGTGCCAGGGGTCCTGGGAGTGGTTGGACCCTGGGATGCCAGTTATTTATGAAAATGGAGATATGTCTTAGATATTTACACGGATAATTTGCTTTTCTGGGTGGCTTGGGGGTTGGCTGTGCTTCCCTCTTCCTTGCGAAGTTGTTTTCTACTGGTGGGTTGTTGTAACCCGATCCGAGCTGTGGACGTGTTTCTGTGTTTGAGTGTTGGGAGGTGGGGTCTAGTTGAAGTTGGTGGAGGGGAGGCAAGGAGCTGGAGGCGACAGGCGAACAATTCACGCTGGTGCCGAATCGGGCCTGAGTGTGCAGTGCGTGGAGGGGTTTCCTCCGAAGACAGTTTTGTTCAAGTCGTAAAAGTTTCCCAGTGTGTCTGTGTTTGACATCATCAGCGGACTGGGGCAGGAACTGCTGAGGCTGCGGGGCTGCCGGGGCGAGGGAATGGAGAGGTCTGGCTGTGCGCGCCTACACCGCGCGCTTCTCCGCAAAGCAAACGGCCTTTTGCGTTTTTGTGCCGGCTGCAGCCGCGCGTTGGCACCAGCGGAGCGGGATCAGTAGAGTCACAGCCACCAGTGCCTGTGAGCTGGGGTGGGTGGAAGTTGTGGCGAGCCGAGCTCTTCCAGTCTTGGACATACTCGTGGTTATGATATCAACTGGGCGCAAAGTTTTGACAGAACTGCAGGAGGCATGAAGACTGCGGGTGAGTAGGGTAGCCTGAGACCGGGAAGAGGGCCCGGGAGGCGCGCAGAGGATGCGGGCTGGGTCACCCACCTGCATGTGCGTGGGGAAGACGTATAGCCAAGAACGCTTTATAGATAGCCCAGCCGGGACGCCTGCTGCGACCTGGCAGCCGGGGTTTGTGGTCTGGCGCGGGGTGTATGTGCTGAGTGGGTGTACGTGTGCGCTGTGTGTGTTTGTGTGTGTGCGCGCGCTCGCCAGGGGAGGCGTGTCAGCGCCTGAGCCAGTAAGGTGGGGTGGGGGGTGGATGTGCCGCCCGCATGTTTATGCCACCAGGAGACCTTGGAAGGGACAGAGAAAGGTAACGGGAGGGCAGAGGGTTGGGAGGTCACAACGGTTCTTGTATAGGTTGAGTACCACGAGCTTTAAGTAACTAAACCGTTGTCTTGGAGGGGCAGAGAGATGGGAGTGGGGTTTCTGGCTCTCTCAGAACTACGAGGAAAAAATGTTTGAGGCTTTTAGGATACAGAACCCTGAAGACAGACGCAGCTTGGAGGTGCAAAACTGCCAAACTGCCATTCTGCGGTACTAGCGTCCACAGTCCAGAGACTGTGTGGTCTCAGGAATGCTCACCTTGAGACTTCCCTAGTTTGTGTGCCTGGGAAGGCACTTGCTTTTTCTGCAGACCTGTGATGTGGTAGCCCCGGCTTTGTTCCCTGAGCAACTGGTGTTCCAGGCTAGTTTCCACCAGGATCACTCTGGAAGTCCCTTATTCTGCGGTGCCCCAATACCTTGGAGATCATAACTCCTGAAACATTTTGAGAAATTAAAATGCAAGACAGAGACAAAATAAAATGACTTAGCAAGCAGGGTTGTTGGTTCCATTTATTCTTTTTAGGAGTTGTGCTTCATTTCGAGAAAAGCAAAACTCAGTGTTCCCAGATTAAATTTCAAGGGACCTCCAGAGAGAGTTTCCTTTCAGATAGACCTTTGTATAGAAGGATGTGTTTTAGCCTGGAGACCCTGAACAAACACTTGTGGTTTAAAACGCTTTTCCCATCTCTCATCTCTTTCTCTATAAACTTCTAGTTTCACATTAGTCTAAGGAAAGTTGGTGAGTCAATATTCAGATTTTGTTTTTTGGAGTAAATATATGACAGTGAAATTACAGTTTTGGTCCCAATGCCCCCAAAAGCCAATACTTAATGGGCAGAGGTGTGAAATGAAAAGTCTATAAATGCAATGACAAAGTGATGACATAAGTATATATATATACATATTTTAAAACTGAGCATAATTTTGCCTCACAAATATTTGTTTTAGTGAGAGTTTGGGGCTATGGTTTTGATGATTAGTTTTAAACAACAGACTCCACATCATAAACCACTTTAAAATGGATGCTAGAAGCCTTCGCTATGCTGTCTCTGGTGCCTGGGTTAACAGATGTTTATGGTGCTTGGAAACCTATGGGATGGTCATGTTGAATATCTTGTTAGTGCAGGACATAATGTTTATAGCATAATGTAATAAATGGAGCCCCAGCTGCGGCCTGCTTGTGCCAACTGCATGAAACATCCCGGCACGGAAACAAATTTTGAAGTTGGTCCAACTTGGTGCGCTTTTTTGGCTATCAGCTGGCAAGCCTTGTTAATGTAAAGATAAATCTGAGTGATACAGTGAGAATGTGGGATAGCAACTTGTTTAGCTTAGAAAAAGAGACACAGGTAGTGCTTTTTAAATCCATTAGCCTAAAGATTAGCTTGTTTGGTTATTCCACTGGTAAAATGCCTAATTATGAAGACCGTTTATTTTTTCAAGAACGAAATTTTAAAAATATGTCAATAACGAAAGCGTTTACTTTTTAGTGTATCTACATGTGTCCGTACAAACTGGTAACGATTTAAGTAACATTCACATTCAATCTGTCTAATCACCTAATGACTCTTGAATTGATAAGAATTGAAGTTTGGTAAGACTGGAGTCATCCCTCAGTCAGTTGTGCAAACAAAACAGTATAGATGATCTTTTTGACAAGTATTATTTTTTTCAGCTTGAAACTGATGTAATATAAATACTAGATTCAGTATAATGGTTGCCTGGGATTATAACTGACCTAAGTGGTAGTTCTGTCCAGAGCATTAACTCCACTTCAATGTCCGTGAAAATGGGCTACTTCATCTGCTCTTAGAAGGAAGCAGCTGGGAAAGGAATTGAGGAGAGAAATAGAGAGGCAAGACATTTATGGGACGCAAAAGTGGATGGTTATTTGTTGGTGATAACATGTATGGTATCTTCGACTGGACTGGTGTGAAGTGTAATTCATGTTGGGTAAATTCACTTTACAGGCTGTAGTGATGTATGGTGATTGTATATATAAAATAAATCAAAATAATAAACAATCAAAGTTCTGCCTTGTACTGAATCAACACTTTTTCCCCCCATCCCTTTGCCTTCCCTCAGTTTATAGAGCTACATATAATGAAATAATCTGTCTCTTTTCTATGAGTACTATCTCAGGAAACATATATTATACTTCTTGAATTCTTTTTAAGCCATCCTTGTAGTTGTTCTTTACCCACTGGGGCGGGGGGAGGGAGGGCTCTAGCCTTGTCTACCTTCAGCAACATGGCCTAGATTCCACTTTTTCTACATTCCTCTTAATAAATGTTATCTAAAACATAGATCTGGAATTCTTAGTACTGGGCTTTATACATCTATTAGGGTAACTTAGTAATACTCAGAGCATTTTTAGCCATCTTGTTATACTGTTGACTAATTTCAAGCCTGTAAATAAGAAAAAAACTTGTCCTTTTGTGATTATTAGTCATCCATAGTCAAAGCTTTATCATAATAATTTCAGGGAACCAGAAGTTAGCATAATGGCTACGTCGCTGGACTCTCACGTAGTCGACCGCGGTTCGCGTCCCGGACCCGGTGGCTTAAAACTCACGCCGGGCGCATGTGCGTGCGTGCCCAAGATCCCAAGAGGAGAATGGAGGAGAAGGGATTGTGGCGTGACCATCCCCCCGGGGGGTGATTTCTCGCTTTCTGTCTCTATGTCTCTCTCTGTCTGTCTGGCGAGCACACGTGCCCTATAACGAAAAACTTCTCAAAAAAAAAAAAATTCAAAATATTTTCATTCTTGGAACTTACTATAAATTTATGAAACCTATAATGTTCTCCAGATAAAATCCTATTTGCCATGCAGTTTCTTAATTTCTTCCCGTCAAAGGATAACACCCTCCAAAAAAAAAAACACCCTGAATGCATAACATTCTGAAAATAGGCAGATTCAAGCTGCATGTTTTAAACAGGTAGGACTGTGGCATATTCTTTTCATTGACCTCATTGTGTTTGCTTTCATGAGCATGAGTCAGTGCTAGAAATTAGGCATTTAGTGAAGGCTTGATCTGCCCAGGTCCCAGAGAATATGCCATCTGGCCCCAAATGAGGTGAAAGTACATGAGTCAGAAATGTTTTCTCAGGCAACTGGGTTTTAAGATGTACATACAGGACATGACAGTGCATACGGCCCGTTTCTCAGGAGGTTAACGGCTTGCTCATACCATAGGAAAGTAATGTGCAAGCCACACAAACAGGTATAACGTGGCAAGAGTGTGACTCGAAGCCTCTGTGTCCTGTTGTGTGTCTGGACTGGAGTTTGACAAAGACTGTTATTTCTGACTTATCAAATCCTAGCTGCCTGGAGGGAAGACAGCCAAGCTGGCCTACACAGAGGAGCCCATGTGGCTCCCAGGCAAGCACTTGGAGACCCATTGACTCACTTTTTAAATCAGTGTTTTATCTACATGCAAATGAGCTCCCCCAAGACTCACTTTTCTCTTGTGTAAAAATGGTAATGCTTATCTCCCAAGATTGAGGTCTCTTCGACAAGCTCTGTAGCACTTATGGCTGCGTTAGATGCCTGCCCATGTGATTGATTTCTGTTCGTGGTATCAGACTGGGGCTTCCCAAGTAAATTATGAGTTCCTCCTGCCACCTGCTGAGTATCGGCCACCTGAGCATCTTCCTGCAAGAAACATTGACAGCGTTGCTTTTTCAGCAAGTCTAAATGTGAGAAGTGGCTCCTTTTCTTGGTGCGGGGAAAGGGGAGGAGAGAGAGAGAGAGAAGTCACCTGTGATATAAACTAACACCTGAGCCCATGTTTTGTGAACATATCTTCTATCCAGACAAGGGGACAATGACAGTCTTGTGTTCTTAGAAGAAATTGCCCATGCTGTCCTGTGTGTGTGTGTGTGTGTGTGTGTCTTTGCAGGGAAGTTTC